TATATATATATATATATATATATATATATATATATATATATATATATATATACACACAAGATAAAAGTTTCTGTCACAACATTTCTTCATAGTTCTTGCACTAACAGAGTTCCAGCTGCTGTCGTAAGAACTGACCTTATCATTTGAGACTGTGTTTAAACAAAGAAAAGCCGCCACATATTTAAAGAAAGGGAAAGTTGTCATTTTCATTTATGCCGTTACACGCTGAACGCTGCTCAGGTTCTGTAAAATCTCAACAAACCTGCAAAAGTATTTGATCTGTGTGAAATGAATATTTGAATTTCTCTGCAAACCCTTAAAGTCTTTTTTTAGATGCTATGTAAAAAACTAAATTAGAGTCCGCAGCCATGTTACCATATCTTTGAGGCTGTACTTAGACCCAGCAGTGCTTTATGCTAAACGCTTAAAGCTAGCATGCTCACAGTGACAGTGTTAGCAGGAACAATGTTCACCATGTCTGCCACCTCAGTTTAGCCTGTTAGCATTCCAAAATGATCTTGTTAGCGTTAAACAAAGAACCAGCAGAGGCTGATGGGAATGTAATTTAGCGTTTGTCCAAAGCTACTAAAAATGAGTGTGTTCAAACTCTTATATATTATTATACGTTATACGTCATCAAAAGAGGCCATGGCAATTATCAGAAGCAAAAGGAGTTTTTATCCATGGACTGTGCTCAGCAATTCATGGGAATCTGTCTGTTATGCTGTTGTAATTATTCTGTGTGCAAAGTGTACACTTCACACTTGCTGGAAAAGATTGTGGAGTTTCCAAAATGAGATCAATAGGTTTATCAAATGGGGAAGATGAATGTGTTTGTTGGGATATCTTGTCTTTGGGTAGAATTCCATGTTTATAAATGTATTCCTTCTTTGGATCAGTCCATATAGGCGGATTGATCCAGAGGTGCAAAAAAACTCCACTTTTATTGATCAGGGTGCAGATACTCTGGTTACATATATTTTAAAACCCCCAAATTGTCAAACACCAGCATCTCAGTGCAGAGGTGAAATATCCTTAAAAAACACACAACAGAGCATATAGACAAACAGACACGTCTAAAAGCAATCATGAGAGCTTTGCCACCAATTGCCCTCATACTCTGGGTTTCACAGCTATTCCCACTGCACTCCTGATATCACAAAACTGCAGAGTTTCATTACAGAGAACTGCAGTGACTTTCTGCAGTGCTGACGGACGAGGCACTGAGGCACGGACATGAATGGGTGGAGGAAATCATGGAACATGACCAAATTTCATGATCTATACGAATAACCAGGGTGTCAGCCCAGTGAAAATCCTATTATCCTACAGGAATATTGACAGGGATTCAATCAAGTTATATTTTTTGTCTTTACCTTAACTGAAACCATATGTCCAGACACAGTGTTATATGTTGAAACTGGATCAATCAGTCTTGATTTTCAGGAAAGCTGCACGTGAGTAAGATTGAGTTCCAACCCCAAATCCCATGCCAACCTGTCTCACTTCAGTGATGCTGCTCGCCTTTCACCATATATATCAGATGTATTCCTTCTGTGTAAAGTGTATGAATACAAGATTACTCGCCTGTCCAAAAATAGATCTCTCCCCCTCTCTGTCTTTAGCACATTTCTCAGAAAGTCTCGGGAGGCTTTGATTTTTAAATGAACGGTTGCCAAATGAGTGCTGAGACATTTCTCAGCAGCTTCAAACACCGGCCTCTTTAGCCTCTCAAACTGTGAGGACAAGTGAGGATGTGCATGAAAAAATATATTCAATCGTGTGCTGAGTTTTGATTCTGTTGAATATGTAATGAAGGAGTTAACCAGAAGCCTGACTTTAGTGACCCTTTAATTAAAAGAGTTTGAAGTCAGAAATTGCCCCCGAAAGGTTGACGGGTGTGATAAATGGCACAGGACATCCTCTCCATAGGAAGAGCAAGAAAGTTTCACACTGCAGGTGTGTCATACAGACGCCACCATCTCAACAACAATTCCTGTTTACAATGTCTGATGCTTTAAATACACTCACACACACACACACACACACACACACACACACACACACACACACACACACACACACACACACACGTGTGTCGCTTCCTTCAACTCTGAGATAACTCAGCAGGTCAGTGTCAATCTTTGCAGGGCTCATCCGTTGAAGTAAAAATAAATATCCAGAACAATCAAGTTTAAAGAAAAATCACCTCCCTGCACCAAACAACTAATGTCCTAATGTCAGACATGACTAAACATGCTTGGCCTGGATCACCAGTTGTCCCCATAGCAACAAATCACAAACACTTCCAAATAGAAAATGATAATGCAAAAAAAAAACATAAAAATGAGGTAATGCATTGGACACGCTCTTTTCTTCACTATTCTTAAAGTCACACAACCTAAATAAATGTATTAGCCTGCCTCTCCATATTAGATTCAATCAGACCAGTCAAATAGCTTAAACTATACTTTTCTTCCTTTTTTACTTAAAAACATCTAATACTACCATCTAACATCCACTACAAACAGCAATATTGTCCACAGCATCCTACAATGAGACTAGCCCACCCCAGGGCCGGTTCCCACTGTGCAGGGAGAACAATGAATGTGCTACTGTGGGCTACTCTACTGTATATGGGTGGTTTCCACCTGAGCCCCATTACTAACACAGATGTGTCAAATAAAACCTCACTCCTCCTTGTTTTACTGAGGAAACACGCCAAGTCGCTGCGGAGAGCCAAACCCATGCCGTTGTCATTTTCATTGATGCTCTCTCCACGGATCACATGCGCCCATGACTCGGTCTACTTTGTCTCCTCACAGCTCACTGAGGCGGGTTGAATCTGCTCCATCACATCATATGTATATCGCCTTACCTTCGCTCTCCTTATATCCCGCTTAGGTATTGATAAGGTATAGCTTCCCCTGCATATTGATCACCCCTCTGTTCAGCTTTCTCCCCGGCTGCTTTTGCAAGGGAGGGGAGCCGCCGTGCAGCCGCTGTCCATGTTCATCCTCCGGTAGTACTGTAGCGCACACACACGCCTCGTATTGAGCCACACTCACCACGCCTTCACCCGCCGGCTATTATGTGAACGAGCCCCGCATCCCCTCCCTCCCTCTGCCTCTCATCCAGCAGCTGCCGGCCGGCCTGAATCACTCTGAATCCTCATAATAATGAAGCGTGATCGCCTGAAGATTATACATATACATACATACATAGGCCTACACTCACACACACACACGCACACGCGCACACACACGCGCACACACACACACACACACACACACACATATATATATATATATATATATATATATATATATACTGACTTTATCACACCAAGTGGATTCTGTGTTATCTCCAAAATTACGACAACGCTCCTATGGAGGGAGCTACATTAAATCTGCACTCATATTATTTTTAATATTTGATGTATTGAGCCCTTATTGTGTCATATAACTTCTATTTATTGTTCAACTGTTAATTATATTTCCATGACAGCAACTACTCTTAGCAAATGATTACAATGTCACCATTAACACCCAACCCAATAAAATGATGTCAAAACCAAACATTTGACAGGCAATGACAGTAAACCAAAACAATCAATTAGGTAAGGTTCTAAAATTACAGATGGCAAATTACTGTATAACATTTTGTTTGTGAATAAAATACTTATTAAAATACCTATTGTGGTACCTGTATGTACAGGGATAGAAGAGAAGAGGTTGGGGAAACAAAGCGGTTAAAGACTGCGTTCAAGAGAGACCTAGAAATAAAGTACACTGCAAGATTGCTGAGGACCTTACAGGGTAACGGTAACAAGGCAGGAACAGTTATGTAACAGTGTTGATATGTTTACAAAATTACTTTGGGAAATTGCATGTAAATTATTGGTTTATGTTTTTTAAATGTTCAAGTACCTGACTGGAAATTACATTATGGTATATTAAAGTATGTTTTCAAGTTTGTTGTTTGTTTTTCAGCTGCAAGTTTAAGGGCCACACCTTGTTTTTCTTCTTTTCATGAAACATCTGTTGTGAAATGACCCCATTTGTACCTTGTAATTATTCAATATGTACTGGGTAATTAAAAAAGGTACTTACAATGTAATATAGTTTTATGTCCCCATAAACGCAAAATTGTTCCCTTTGTGTTTATTTTTGGTTGAGGTAGCATAATGTGACCTCTCCTCGCCTGCCGTGTTAAATAACTGTGGATACCTCCAGAAAGGAATATATCATAGTATGTTTTACTGTATCCTTCTACTATTTAAAATACCTTTCTTTTGAATATTTATATGATCTTTTAGTAAATATGATTAAAGGGTATTCCCAACAATCCAGCTAACAGGTTCTTTCTGTTTGTTTTTGTCTTCTTGGATGCACTCTATTTGCATAAGGTATTTATTTTTCCTACTTGCATTCACCTGTGGCACTAAAACAGGATATAAGTGATAAAAAAAGGTGAGCTACTAACGAGGATGTATTTAGCACGTTAGACAACGGACAAAGGACAGGAAACAGTAATCACAGTTAATCTTTTTATCACAATTTGTATGACCATCAATACCAGTTGCAAGAAACGACTATTCACTGACAAACAATGACATTGAGTGACAAATTAACACATTTGATGTTCCTGACTCTGAGGTTTGTTTTCAGCATATTAAATGGACGAAAACCACCGCCATATAAATAAGGACTTTAAAGCTAAGTCGACCTACTTTGAAATGAAATCAACATTCAGCATTGCAGAAGAAGGTTTACATGTTGTTCAAAAGCAAAAACTGATTAAATCTGTTATTTAAAACGTCTCTGTTGGCCTCGTGTTGACATCTTTGACTTGTGCAATTCACGAGACACAATACTGTTCGACCAGACTATTGGTGTGTGTTTCACATGCGATATTCATTTCAGCTTAGGAGCGACAGTGCCAC